ATACAAACTTAAATTTTATTTTTAAATTATGATTCTCTATACACTTATACACATAATATTATATATTATGGAGTATAAGAAAAATTGTGTCTGAAAGTCGAAGACACTATATTAATGAAAATCCATCTGGACTTATTTAAGGCCCTTGCATATACCGGCAAGAACGTAGCTGTAGCTATCAACAAGACCTTACCTGACTACAAGCGAAAGCGATCATCTTATGAATATGATGACCATCATAATAGAAAATTGTCTCGAACCTCAACATCACCACTCGATATCCATCATGTAATTGGTAAGTAATATACACGTCATCGACCCAAATACATAATGACGAAATATACCTATACCTATACCTAACCTATACGGTCGATATCAGTGCTTCACTATTTTAAAGTCTAACCAGAGCGATGATTGTATTGATTTTTTCATGGTGTTCGCAGTGTTGAGAATAGATACAAAAAACATTTAATTTACGGACATTTTAATTAATACATAAACGATAGATGGGGTCCGATCACTGTTTCTTATTGTCCGTACATTTTAATGCGTAAATTTTGTTAATTCTACTAAAATCAAAACTGCCCTTCTTTCACTCGGTAATAACTTCATTGTTAATATCATATCTAGACATCAAGCCGAACGATAATGTACCAAATAGTAATGACAAGTCAACTATTGTTAAATCTGAAGCGGATTTAGTAACTAGTGTAATACGTCACTATCGTCTGAGCGTACCCAGTACTCACGTACCGCCTGATGATAGCGACAAAAAGATTAAAAAAGTAACAAAGGATAATTATTATTTCATTCAGTATTTATTAGTTTATTATTATTTTCACAGGGAAAGTATGGAAAACCACCCATTTCAGGATCGAAATACGTACTCGATGTCAAGGGAGACGGTAATGTTCCCCTTTCACTCCCTAGAGCTGCGGGGACAAAAAGAAAAAGAGTATCGACTGAGACCAGTGACAGAAAACTTAAAAAAGTAATAAAGATAAATTGTTATTTTTTTCAGTATGTATATATTAATATATTGTAATTTTAATAGAAAAAGTATGAAAAACTATCCAATGTGGGTTCAACGAATCAACGTGATGTCGCAGAAGACGGTAATGTCTCTCCTTACTTCTCGCAACCCCCTCCCCCCAAATACATCGTCCAATTAGAGGTAGTGTTCAGTGGGCCGGTTGGCCACTGCTATCTCCAAGGAGAAATCAAAATTATTTAGGCAAAGTGCTACACTTAATGCACTTAGTGTGAACGGGATATGATCTGGTGTGTTTAATTTTGATCCATTGGATGTTGCATGTTTATATTTGTGTTCTTTTGAGTATATTAATCAAACATAGTATGTATAGATACCAAGTACCCATAGTATATCATACAGCAATATTACATTTATTTGTTGAGAGCATATATCAAACAGCTTTAACCTTTTAAGGAGCGAATTAAAAATACACAGGCGTTACTCAGAGAGCAGATTACGAATGAAAAATTGAAAAAAAAAAACCAATTCCGAAGCAATTATGATTAGTTAATTATGATATTATTTAAGTCACACTTTTATATTTTTATCGATGACATATAAATACGTCTGAAATAAGTATAGATATATCATATTTAGGGCTCATGTAAACTCCGCCAGTGAAAAAAATAGTATAAAACAGTATACACTCTACATTTTATATAATATCAGATAATTTATCAAACAATAAATAATAATTTTATAATAGGTAATAACTATTCTTCTTAAATAAGTATATGACACAAAATATAAAAAACTTAAAAATAAAAATAATAACTGTTAGAGCAAATCATACAATTTATTGCAATGGCCAGTATTATGTCAAAAAATAATGATAGACAATTGTAATAACTAGCTAGTAATCAAAAAATATGTAGATATATTATGTTATTGTGACATTAAATTATATTATAATACTTATAATAATTTGAACTGTGAACTAAAATTATGAGATACTATTTGTAGAAATTCAAACCATTAAGTCTAATTTAAATCCATTATTATAACAATTTATTGTGAATAGCTTTCTCTAATCCAATCATTTTTTTTTCATTTTGAATTTTTGAGTTTACTTAGTAGAGAAATATTCAAATATCATATAGTGTTACATAAGGAAGTCATTAATAATAGCGGAGTTCCCATATACCTATTCCAGGTAAGAAAATAAAAGTGGAGGAGTTAAAATTACCCGGTATTCTGGCAGAGTTTACAATCGCCCTACAAATAGGTTAGTTTATATTATTTATAAATTATAAGCAAAATCATATAAAATAAAAAATACACATAGGCAGTAAACGTATATGTATATATAAAAGTATAAAACATCATTTAGATACATCTTTTGAAAACGTATATTATATTATACGGCAGTACAATCTCGTAAAATACGGATTTATTAAATTATAATATTACTTTACAGAATAATAAAATTTTCAATCTCACATTAAAAACAATGTCGATAATTATTTAATTTAAGTATTATTAATTAATTTATTATTTTATTTCATTTCATAAATACATATAAACACTGGGCCACAAAGAAAATTTGGGCTATATATTAGAATACAATTTAAATGTTTTCATCCTATTTTATTACTAGGTAGGTAATATTAATATTACTAGTATTATTAATCCGTTTAAGACAAACTCCATAGGACATTAGGACTGGTTAAAAAACGTATAGTTCTGGAAATTGTTCATCAAATTACAGGATAAATAAGCATATAATATTATTATTAAGCAAGATTACTTATTTATGCTGTATTTTTTAACAGTATTAATATGTGTTCTGCCATGTACTTTAACAATTTATATTAGTGACTATTTATGCTGTACTTAACTCTTTTGGCTTATTAACCAGTCTCAGTAGTTAGTTATAAATATGAAATACAATTTTCAGTTCTGGAAAATATGATCCGACCTGTTGCATCAGACTTACCATCTGGAGTTGTGAACGGGGATATCAAAATATGTAAGCGGACTAGAACAACGGAAAAGAATGTAAAATTTAAATTATTTATTTTATTTTAATATTATATGAAGTCTTATATTTCTATAATGTACATTTGTAGAGTACAATTCAAACTCCAGTACGATGTCCTGGTGTAATAAAGTTTGGAAAATTTGAAGTGGAGACATGTTATTCATGCCCATTCCCGCAAGAGGAGGATTCTCCGAGATTAATATTTTGTGAATTTTGTTTAAAATACACTAAATGTCAATCGATTTTGGAAAGACATATGCGACACTGTAATTGCAGAACACCACCAGGCACAGAGATCTACCAAAGTGGAGATTTAAGCGTTTTTGAAGTAAATTAATTTTATGAAACAATTCACTAGTGATAAACTACTTACACAATTTTTTATTTATTTTTTCAAACAGGTTGATGGAAAAGTAGACAAAACTTATTGCCAAACACTATGTCGATTGGGGAAATTATTTTTGGACCTAAAAACTCTGGACTATGGCGTTGAACCGTTCTTATTTTATATTGTGACGAAAAACGACGGTTTTGTAAGTGTACCTAAATAAATACATTTTAAATTGTAATTTTCGAACTGAAAACTAATCTTGGCAGGGTCTGCCCTTCGCTCGAATCATATGACTAAACGCTTAAAAGAATCATTGAGCGATAATTTAACAAAATATGTAACGCTGTCAATCCAAATTATCTTAAGTCCATACATTAATATATATATATTTATGTGTATGTGTGTTTTTGTTTTTCTGCGCCCAATTAGAAGTCCACCCATTATATAACTTTAAATTTTAATACAAGTCAATAGTCCAAATTTATTAGTAGAAGTATTCAATTCTGTCTACTGTCGCAAGACGGTAATTCACTTTTTATTTTTTTTTTTTTTATATTTGTCTACCATAATTATATTGTAATAATGTTCAATTAAATATGTTAAGGGCTGTCATTTGGTTGGTTATTTTTCAAAACTAAAACAAAATGAAGAACATTTTAATGTAGCTTGTATCGTTATCATGCCACAGTATCGAAGACAAGGGTATGGACGAATTCTCATCGAATTCAGTAAGTGAAAGCTATATAGACCTAGGCGTTTTAGCATATATCACGTCTAGTTTATTTTTTCAGGTTACCTTCTATCTAGAATCGAAAGACAACCGGGAACCCCGGAAACACCCCTTTCCGGCTTGGGAAAAATGACGTACGATGCATATTGGAAAGGTGTTATTCTAGAATATTTAGATAAACACAGAGGCATTGACAACATATGCATCAATGATGTTAGCAGTGAAACTGGTAATTTAAAAACATTTTATTTGAAACTTTTTATTCAGAATTTTGACAATCATAATATTAATAACAATTTTAATTTAGGTTTAATGAGACAAGATATTATAGACACGTTCAAATCTCTACACATGGTTGTGGAAATCTTTAAAGAAATTACCATATGCATAGACTGGAATGTTGTAGATTCCCACATAAAGAAGAAAATTGAATTAAAACAAATTCATATCGACCCAGATCGATTGAGGTGGACACCGTCAAATTTAACGGATGGCCAAGTTAGTTTCTTATGATAAAAAAAAAAAAACGATTTTAAATAATTATAATATTTTTTATTAGGATAACCAACATCTTGAAGAATCGGTTTTCATCAAGTGCCTTCCAGGTGCCTAACCCTAGTGTACGTGTGTGCGACTGGCATGTATCCGGATTACACGTGGATAACGAATGCCGCGATTGCGCACTGTTCGCTACCATACCCTCACTTGTACGTTATGAAGAACCGGCTAGCGGACTCCAAACGGGTGCTGGTCTGGTTGATGACAGTACGGTAGCCAATGAGATGGACGCCATGGTCGAGTGCATATGCAAGGAAAATGCGCAACACGTCCTTCACCAAGCCGTTCAGGGACTGGGTAAAACTTAAAGCGCTCATCGTCGGACAGGGCCTGTCCGTGTTCCGGGTGACAGCCAGCGTCAATTTGCTCATATATATGCACTTGACCGTCCACGCATACAAGCTCTCGTGGCATTTGCACAGCAAACGACGTAACCGATTACGGGTGGTCGTGCGTGGGTGCCGTCGGAGGGTTGTCGGTCGCGCACATAATCGGACTTGGCTGGCTGCTGTCCACCACCAACTGCAAACTGTTCTTGGCCAACACCCGGTCCATATCTAACCACGCGGTCATCACTATCACGCTGGCCGTCACGAAGTTCCTGGCCCTCAAGATTTACCCCGTGCTGGTGGACGACAGTGGCATTATGTACAGCAACTATCAGATATCGTCGGGAAGTGCGCATTATCAAGGAAATGCGCAACGCGTCCTTCAACAAACCGTTCAGGGACAGGGTAAGACTTAAAGCTCTCATCGTCGGGCAGGGCATGTCCGTGTTCCTGGTGACAGCCGGCGTCACTTCGATCATATAGTTTACGTCCATCACGTTCGACGAGATGCACTTGGCCGTCCACGCATACAAGCTGTCGCGGACAGGTGCACCGCGTACGACGTAACGGATTACGGGTGGCTGTGCATGGTTGCCGTTGGCGGGGTGTCAGTCAAGCACATAATTGGACTTGGCTGGCTGCTATCCATTATCAACTGCGAGCTGTTCTTGGCCAACACCTGACCCATACCGAACCACGCGGTCATCATTATCACGCTGGCCCTCAAGATTTACCCCATGCTGGTGGATGACATTGGCATTATGTATCGAAATTATCAGATATCGTCGCTGTTTGGCCTCAAGTCCATAGTCATACCTGATTCCCGTGAACGAAGGCACGCGATCGAGTTCAACTGCTACTGCTGGAGGTGGATGTGGATTGTGGGTCCATGGCGATGACCAGACGATTTATACGAGTACGAGTCGAGCACCCAAACGATAATTCTACGACTTTGGACTAGCGTCGAGTGTGCAGAACGTTATACAAACATATTACACATAATATACAATACAATATGATAATAGAAGTGGTGGGACGATCTGCTGCAGGAGAAGGACTCGCCCTGCGTTTATATTTTTTTTTGACGGGTGCATTTGTCCGGAAATACTGCAGTCGTCGTTTATCAGAAATATCGTTTATTTGTCATTAAAACTCACCGGGTAAGAGGAATTTTTTTGTGGAAGCACTGTGTTTATCAATTTTGGAACAAACACAGTCTTCCAGTTTTGAAAAAGTCAACATAGATTGTAAACAATAATTTTTCTCTATACTATATTATCATTGTTTATAGTTGATAATATTGTACACGTGTATATGCTGTATATTTTTTAAATAACGATAAAAAAATGTTGTAAATGTATCATCTATATGGACACTTTAATATTAATTGTAAATAATATTATGTATATCAATCAATTTGTCTTTATTTTAAATATTGAATGTACTATGTACATGATATTTGATATACATCCAAGTAAATAGCTTGTTTGTTCTATTATAATTTAAAGTAAAAACTTTTTACATACGTCATTTTTTCTTTACTAATTCATAATATAATCAAAATATTTTAAGTAATTTATTGTCTTTTTATTTATTTATAAATTACAATATGTCATCTATATTTTGATAGATCATCTATTTTTCAAAAAAAGTACACTAATGTCGATTGATAAGACGTGATTACTGAGAAAAAAATGTTAATAACCAAATCATTAATTAGTACTAATTATTAAGGTTAAATAAACAGTTACATACTACTGTTTTATATACGGGGTAACTTTTGAACTTAACATTCTTATTTTAACAGTTAACTGTCCTGAATACCTGATAAATACAATTATTTTTCGAGTATTATCTTAACTTGTATTATGTTAGTATATTACATTATATTTTCTAAATATACCTAATTATCGGCTATATTTAATTAATGACACATAGTTATTTATTATATTCCGACTATAAAATACCTACACAAAGTAAAAACAAATAATAAATGGTACACGGTAATTTTGTACCTGGGTACAGTAGTACAGTACTACAGTATATTGTTTATAATCTATAACGCAGACAATTTGTATGGTCAGGTAAAAATATACATTACAGAACGCTTTGTAATTTGTGCTATTCTATACATTTTTATTTTTTTATTATAGCACAATACATACCAGCGCATGGTTCAGCAGGTACAATAACAGTATGATCTATATAAAAAGAAAACATGAACAATTTCAATGAAAAATATACGTCATCAACACTTTCGTATTTTATTTTCTATTATATACCTACATAAAATATATAAAATTATACCTAAGTAGTAAACATATATTATAATGTTAAACTTAAAAATTATGTTTCAGTTAGAAATTAAAAAAAATCTTTAATTTTATAATTAACATTAGACATTTTGATTCCCAACAAGTTTTTCTACCTTCATAAAAAAAAAAAGTACCTAATATAAAAATGGTTGAGGATTCCACTGTTGATTAGGTAGGATTTTCGTAACTAAACTCTAGCTGGGCGTTTGAGCAGCTTTATACGGTTGGAAAAACGTTTATCGAGAGAATCAAGTCCACCACGACGTAAAAAGTACAAGAAGCATGATAACAAAATAAGAAGAATTGTGGAAAATTGATCTGAAATAACACCATTTCAATATTTAAGAGGTTTATCTTACAATATTTATAAATAAACCAATAAACGTCAAGGACAAAAGTAAATATATTAATTTTGGAATAAGAATACATTCCCTTTTTGACAACAATATTGTAAGGTTACCCTTACGGTCGAACACTAAAAGGGTACCGACCACCACGGATCCGAGACTGGTTAGGTCGGAGAAAAGTGGATTTTAAACATTTTATACACATTTTAATTGAAATACAGATTTTTATGTTTATTATATATTTATTTAAATGATATTGGTAGCACCCGAAATTCGTGCATGAGTAATGAACTCATACATAAGATTACCCGACACCTGTAGGGTCACCACCATGTTGGCCTGGTTGCAGCCGCTGTTGTTGTATTTATTGTTGTTGATGTTGTTGTTGAACTTGCGTGGTTTGTCCACCCTCGGACTTCCGGGTGACAGTCCTGGCCGATCCAATTGCCCTACTCCATGGCTGGGGACTTTGCACACTTGGTAGGAAAACGGTGTTGCGGACGATGACCACTGTCAAGGAAGTGAAACGGCGACGTGACGACTGTTTGGCAGCAACGCAATGGTGGCGGCCTTCAGTGTATATCGATATAATAATAAAATACGATATGAAACTTGTTTATATATTTTTGTTGTATGTGTGTGCGGTCGAGCTTGAGTTCGCCTTATCTCTCCGGAGTTTATACCGATATTGTGGCATATTTATATATATAACGACCCATAAACCCTATCGACTTCGGTTAGTACCACGGGGATAATTTAGTCACGTTACACAATATAATATTATTACTCATTATTTTATAACTGATAGTTAATGATAAAATACTATTCAAGTACTATATTCGATTGTAAAATTATGTTGATCTTAAAACATTTAGGTAATTCCTAATCTAGTCTTAGACGCCCAAGATCTATGTGTTAGTTGTAATTCATGATTATTAGCGAAAACTATTGGGAATTCAAATTTTTGACCCTCCCAAAAGTACAACTAGATTCACATTCCCATCAAACAAGATACTCAATTTGATAATCAAAGCATTATTTTGACTTTTAATCGTGTAACACAGACATAAATAAAAAATAAAAAGACACATTATTGTTGAACCAATAAATACATTCGCAAACCATTCATCGTTCCACTATGAATCTTTAACTAAAATAAGTCAAGTTTTTTAAATATTTATAAATAGCTCAAGAGTTATATTTAAAATTTTATTTTGTCTTGAAAAAACTAATATACCTAGTTGGTGAAAAATTTAAGACTACAAATTATTCATTTTTAATTTTTTATATTAAAAACTCAAAAATAAATTATCATTATTATAGACGTTGATTACAAAAAATAATGTTTTAATATAAATTGATTTTATTTAAATGATTATATTATGTTTGTAAAGTACGTATGCCTACAGCTTACTCGGTACGGCTGTAGGTACCTACCATGAAACGTATGACTCGAGTCTTTTCGCATACATTTACACAACAATGGTCAAATTATATAAGGTAATACCTACTAAGATAGTGTAGGTACTCAAAAATTTGTACATACGGCTGGTTTTCGTTTGTTACTTCGCCAAATATGTTTTTTAAGTCATTGGTTTTGAAATTAGAATCTTCTAATTCATGGGACCTAAGACGAAGCGGACTACAATAAATTAGTATAACAGCCACGGGCCAGGCGACTTTAGCTACCATCGTGGCAGGAACGGTTACTCTGACGCCTAAGCATCAACACGTGTCAGGAGGGTCCATTGACTCATACGACGACGTACGATTTTTTTTTTTTTATATATACAATTTTAAAGTTTTGACGTTGACAACATTTACCAAAATCT